ACTGCCTTGCAGTTACCGGAGACACCGGTGAAGGTCATTGTCAGGGTTTCGGGTTCAGTTTTTGCAACGGTGGCACAACATTCCAACCACTTACGCATACTTCATGCAGGCCTCAAGCTTCAGGAAGACTTGCCGGTCATTGACACATGTTGCGGCAGTGCTGTCGTGGCAGGGGATGCGATTCTTCGGAAGGATGAAGTCCTTGAGGTCGCTGAGCTTTTCTCAGGTGGCTTCTGCGGATGGTCACAGGGTGTCGGGGTTGCTAGGAACTTCGGCATACCTACACGAATCAAGTGGCTGCTGGACACGGATCCAGCTTGCATACCAGGGGCCAAAGCCATGCATCCAGGCCTCTCGGTTGTGTACCAAGCCTCAGACCTCTGGGCCTCGATTGCATCAGAACCTGCCACGTTCCTTTGCGCGAGCCTAGAACATGTTTGGTGGGCACAAGCACTGGCTTGCAGGCCACCGCATTGTGTGTGCATCTCCGCTCCGTGCCAACCCTGGAGCTCAGCTGCTAACTCACATGGGCTTCAGGATGTAGACGGCCAGTTGCTCTTACATACGCTGGGCATCGCAGCGTGTCTGCAGCCGCCACTGCTGCTGCTGGAACAAGTAGCCGGCTTCAATGGGCATAGCCACTTCCCTGTAATTAGGCAGGCTTGGCAGGATTGTGGGTATAGGATGGTTTGGACCTGCCCCATAGACCTGGTTGATGTTGCCCCTTGCACCAGAAAGCGCTGCCTTTACCTGTTGGCCAGACAAGACCAGAAAGTGCCGCAGCTGCTCACAGAGTGGCCTTCCCTGGGGAGGCGCCCAACCTTGGGCACCTTCGATTGCTTGATCAGCCCGCCTGTTGAGATGTTAGAGGCCTCTGTTCCTACGGAGCAGGCTCTAGACAAATACCTTGATCCGTGGTTTTTGCCTGCAACTACTTACGGCACTGGCAAGGCTGTTGATGTGTGGACCCATCGCGTTCGCTCGTTGGACGACCGGGCTTCTTGCTTCATGGCCCAGTACCATTACCAACATGAATTGCCCGAAGGCCTCCTCGCACGGCACGGCTTGTTTGGCTGCTTGGTCCAATCCACAGCAGGCCCGCGCTTCTTCAACGGAGCTGAGATCGCAATTATGCACTGTGCTACCTGCCCTGTCTGGCTCTCCCGAGACGACAGGGAGCAGATGAGAATTCTGGGCAACAGCCTTTCCCCTGCCCAGGCAGTCTTCCCTCTGGCATTGGCATTTCAGACCTTAGGCCATCACGTTTCCACTGCCCAGCTGCTGTTGCAATGCCTTGCCCTCCGAGTGAAAGCTTCAGCGGCTCGCTTCATCCATCTGGAGGAAGGCTGGTTGTTGTGTAAGCAAGGCTCTGAATACGAGGCTCTCTCAGCGGTCCTCACCTGGTCTCCGGTACAGACCAAGCCGACAACAACGGAAGGCCTTTCTATGTTTCGACTTCAGGCCTCAGATGAGGACCTCACGCTTGTCATTGCGCCTGGGATTCGCCTTAATCAGGTACTGCCACTACTTGCGGGGGCCCTCCCGACAGAAGTCTATGCTCAGTTGCAACCAGAGGCTGTTCATTCGGCTGCCAACATCATTTCAGGTCCCACCACAGCTGAAGCGTGCCTGGACATAGATTTTGTGCCTGCACTTGAAGCCTTCATTTCCGTGGCAGCATCACAGTCTGAGCTCTTGTTTGTGCTGGGCCATCAAACATTGTACGCCCTGGAGACACAAGGTCCTTTGCTTTTGTGGGGACTAGGACAAATCATGTCCTTGGAAGGCTGGCGAGAGGCAGACCTTGCCGCACAAGATTTCTGGTGCAATCTTCAAGGTTGTCAAGTCATGTGCCGGGGCGATTTTTCGGGCACACTGCACTTTAGCATTCGAGATGCTTCCGAGCCCTTCTCCCAGTGGTGCTTAATGCTCGATATGCTTCCGGCCTTTCAGGTGCTAGCGCAGGCTGCTCCTCCGCGCCTCGGTGTTTCAGGACCCCATGTCTTGGATATATGCCGGGCCTTTCCTGTGCGCCACTTTGCAGCCCTGGGCTGGGAATCACAACTCACGCCTTCCCTTCAAGGTGACCAGGTGCAAGCCCACATCCTCTTCGCCCCGAGGTACAACCACCTGAGGCTCTCTGTGCCTATGCTGTGGCGCGCCTGCCACAAACAGGTTTTTGTTGGCCTGCTGCAAGGCATGCAACAGGTTGCAGTGCACAACTCCGATAAGGTTTGCCAGGTCAAGGTGCAATGGCAAGGTGTTTGCCTCTGGCTAGGCTCCCTTCCGGAGGCGCTTGAGTTTGAGGACCTTGCTCACCTCTGGAGTGAAGCAGGTCGCCCCTTTCCGTGCCCTCAGCCCGTGCGGCTCTTCTCGGGCCCAAAACAGATTGCTGGGGATATCTCCTTAGGAGAGGCTCGCTTCCACCTGGTTTCCTGACTAAGGGCCGGTACCTGCTTGTCAGCCTCATGCCTGAGACCAGGGGCGGAGGAGCAAAGGACGCCAAGTACCATTCAGCACAGAATGCCCTGGCTCAATTCTTTCTTGAAAAAGGTTGGCCTCTGGCCACCACCACAAAGGCCGTGGATGCCATTCTGTCACAGGCAGGAGCGGCTCGTGCTCAGCGTGCCCTGGACTCTGCAGATCCACAGCATCGGTGGCATCAAATCCAGGCCCTCTGTCAGCAATGCCATGTTGAGGTCCCTGACTTGCCATCCAAGGCCATGAAGGCTACCACTGCGGTGCAGCAAGAAGCCCACAAGCGCTATCAGCGCCAGGTACAACGCCCTCAAGCTTCTGCCTTCCAGTTGGCACCGGGATTCTTCCGCAACGAAGACAATACGCCCGCCACTGTGCTGTCCCAGCTCCTACCTGGAGCTTCCGGGGTCTGTCTGGTGGATGCTGCTGAAGCACCCAGACTACTTCAGGCCTACACTCAATCCTGCCCCGACGAACTGGGGCTGGTCATCCTGGGACATGAGTGCCCTGACAAATCATCCTGCCAAGGCGCCTGCGGAATGCCCGCCACCACGGGACAGGGCGAACAGGTCATCCTACATGCATGCTGGCATAACCTCGGCCAGAGGGCCCTCCACATCCAGTGCGAGCATGATGTCACTATGGCACCACCTGAAGCAGTCTGTATCTGCTTTACTGTGTATAAGGATGAGCATAGCAGCCCAACGGAGTGGCAGAATTTCACTGCCAATCCTGTGCGCAAAGTGGTGGAACGCCTCAAGGACTGTGGGGTTGAGGTTTCATTGGGCACTCCTTGGGGCCGCAGCTTCCGGTCTGATAACAAGGCCGCCACGCCTTCAGATTGCGAATCAATTCAATTTCACTGCCGCATCCCCCGCAGCGAGCTCCTGCCCTTGTTGCGCAAGTCCGGCCACAATGCAGTGTATGCCACTCCAAAGTCCTGGCGTAATGAGATCCTCTCCGGCTTCTCAGTGCTGTGGGTACCAGGAGGAAAAGACGAGGCCGTGGCACAAAGCCTGCAGCTCAAAGACCAACTTGGAATTGTTAGAGCCCGGCAAAGATTTGGGATTCGGGTGGAAGAATCTGCCTTCTCTGATGCCTGGGCTTTGCTCAAACCAGGCACTGCAGCACCCCCCAAGGTGGCAATCACGTCGTTGTACAAACTCCTGTCGGTTCCGCCTGACATCCGCAGTCAAGATCTCCAGGAATGGGCCGCTAAACTTAAGTGGACTGTCAGGCCACTGCGCTCCTTGGGCCCCCGGGAATGGTTGGTCGGCGCCGATGGGCCCCCCCCGCAAGGCCTTTATAGTATCAACCGCCAAGCCATCTTGATACAGAAGGTTGAGGCCAGGCAAGTTCACCGCCCCATAGTTCAAGCAGGCAAGCTGCCTCGGGCCACTCCGGGCCCTGATGCAGTCCCAGATGCTGACCCACTCCAGGCCAACGATCCCTGGAAGAACTACTTACAGAGCAACAGCGCTGCCAGCGCTGCCCCGGCTCCGCCTCCAAGAACACCGGCGGCACCGACACAGCGTAAGTTTGATCAGCAGGATGAGCGCCTGCAACGCCTAGAGGCTGGCCTCGCAGAGGTCCAGAGGGGCCACCAGGCCATGGCTCACCAAGTAGCCAGCTGCCAGACCCAGGTTGAAGGTCAGGTCAATCAAGTCCGTGCCGAGCTCGGTACGTTCGCCCGCGACTTCCAAGCCCAACTGTTGGCCAATGCTGAGGCGCAGCGCGAGGCTCAGGCGCAGCATCAAATGCAACTCCAGCTAGGTTTACAGGAAATCAAGAACATGTTGCAGGCCTCCCCACGTCGTGCCACCACTTCCGCTAAGAGAGGCGTTGAAGGATCAGGCCCGCAGCCGGCCATGGAGATTGACCACATGTGACAGCCAACGGCCGCCATCACTTTACTGCCTGGGTATGGTGGTGGCCCCCAGTGTGCGCGCATTTTGCGCTTCCGGCACAACACCAGGCAAACTACGCAGGCTGCCTCTGTTGGCACTTGGCCACGGGGTGACCTACCATGGGGATGGGCAGAAACTCCTGCCCGGGGTTCTTGGTTGATGTATGACAGGAGAGGCAACTTCGTTCCATGGTTCCTGGGATTTCGTTTCGGGGAGGCGTCGCACCCAGGCCCTGCTTCTTCACAGTTTTTTACGTTGGCTGTCATCAACCCTACAACCATTCTAGACAAGGAATGGCATTTACAGCAAGTCGGAGCTGATGTGCTCCTTGCAAGCGAAACTTCCGCCAACGCGCGTGTACAAAAGATCATGACTTTCAAACTCCGGGGTAAGGGGTTCCGTTGTATGTGGGGCGCTCCCACTGCCGATAGATACCATTGCACAACTGGCCTGCCTATGCTGCGCAGCTTCGCCCTAGGTGTCGCTGCCTTCTCTAAGGCCCCTTGTCGCCCGCCTGTACAGCCTCTGCCAGCCGACCTCTCCGCCAGCTGTCGGATTACTGAATGTTTCGTACGGCTCAAAGCCTTGGAGATCAAAGTGATAGTGGTTTATGGTATGCCCAGGTGCCTGCCAGATGCCTCTCAACACAACAACCGCCTCCTGGCCTGGGCCTACGAGCGAGCCACCACCTCCTGTGTCCCAGCAATTGTCGGAGGAGACTTCAACGTGCTGCCCCAGGATCTTCCTGCCTGGAGTGCCTTTGCACAGCAAGGCTGGATGGAGTTGGGCGAATTTGTCGCCACAGTTCATAACATAGAGCTGCCGTGCACCTGCAAAGGTGCCACCAGATTTGACACCTTCCTGCTGCCACCATGTCTGCTTCAATTCTTCCACAATGCCGATGTTCTGGAGGACTGTCACCTTTTCGACAGTCATGCGCCAATGCGCCTGCATCTGCGTGTGCCTGGTCCCATGGTGCCAAGATGGATCTGGCCTGCGCCCAAAACCTTCACCGACTTGTTACGCCAGACCTCTGATCTTGAAGAGCACTACGTGCGGCAAGCCCACAACGTGCGGCCGGTCTTTGGCCACCAGGTGCCGGAAAACCAGGATGGGGACCAACTCCGCTTGTGGGCCGCTACGGTTGAGGAAGCTGTGCACACAGCCCTTCAACAGCAGAACAGGGCGGATCCCACCAAACAGCCCGTCAAAGGCCTCCCCACTGCCTACCGTGGCCGCTGCCGACAGGTTGACCGCAAAGTGGCATGCCCACCTCGCCTGCCCCGAGCAGGCCGTAACGGAGACCCGGAACCATTCGATGAGGACACGACTGTCCTTGGCCGACAAAGGCTCCGGCAGCTACGACGCTTGGTCACTTTCCGTCAGGGCTACTTGAAACACCAGGCAGGTACTTTCAAGGGGGCCTACTCACATGATGGCTGGCCCGTTTCTTTGCACAGAGAGTGGCAGGCCATCACCAAGGCCCCGGGCTATGGACGGACCTTTCCTTCCTGGGTGCTGCAATGGCCTTGTTTTCTTACTTGGCCCACCGGCTTTCCCCCATTGCCTTACCTAGAAGATTTGATCAGCTTTGTCAGATTTGATGTGGAGGCCCTTAATCGCCAACAGGCAAAAATGAAAAATGCCATGTTCCGCTTTAAGCTCGACGTGGACGAAAAAGATTACGGCTGTTCCAAAACATTTGCCAGAATCCGCCCCCCGAGCAAGCCTCCCTTCCACTCTGTCCAGGTGCAATCGTGTCAGGAAGTGCAGACCTGCTGCTTTCACAGCCACCAGTTGCGCAGTTTTCACGTGCCAGACGCGACCAAATTTGATCTTCTCTGTCAGGTCTTTTACTGCGCCGTCCCGGGCCAGGTTACAGCTAAACAAGGCAACGAGGTAACAGTGCTCTTTCCTCAAGACGATGATGTTGTCCTCCCACTCCGAGGCCAGCTTGTGAGGTCCAGAAAGGACTGCTCTTGGCAAGGTGTCGTGGGAGCTTTGATGGATTATTGGCATCCAATCTGGAACCGCGACACCAGAGCCGAGGAGGCAGATATCTCTCATTGGTCCCAGTTCTCCACATTGCTTCATCGCCTCCACAGCCCTTGCCCGCCCTTCGAGGTCAACATGTTGGATGCACAAGCGTGGCAGCATGTGGCTAAACGGCTGTCCCCCCACAAGGCTAGAGGCGTTTGCGGGTGGAGTAATAGTGAGCTCAGGGTCCTTCCTCTCGCGGCTTTGAATGATTTAGCAGTAGTTCTGCACTGCCCTGGCCGAGCATGCTTCCCAGCCGATCTCCTCCGTGGAAGGGTTGCAGTCTTGAGCAAAGTAGAGGCCCCCTCCTGCGCATCGCAAGCAAGACCCATCACAATCTTTAGTTGCCTGTACAGGCTCTGGACACGGGTCCTCTGTACACAGGTGCTAAAGGTCTGGAGTTATACGCTGCCCTGCGGTGTTGCCGGCTGCCTTAAGCATCGGTCCGTCGTGGATCTGAGCTACAGCATTCAAGCCGAGCTGGAAGAGAGTTTGCTGGACGGCACTGATCTCTCAGGCTTGTCCCTGGATTTGCTTAAGGCCTTCAACTTCCTGCCCAGGTGCCCCATTGCTCAGGCCATGATTTTCCTTGGCGTGCCGGCCACTGTCTGCCAAACCTGGCGGAATTGTCTCAGCAACGTCTAAAGACATTTTGAGATTGATGGTAGCCTCAGCGCTGGCCTTCCTTCCACAACTGGCGCGCCGGAGGGCGACCCGGTTTCCGTGCTTGCCATGCTGGGCATCTGCTTTGTTTTCGTGTCAGCCCTGAGCGGTCTCGTGCAAGCCCGCACCTACATGGACAATTGGACCTGGTCCACAGACATGCCAGACTGTCACGGCCCGGCTTTGTTGGTCCTACAGGACCTCACAGAAGGTTTGAGATTAGAAGTGGATTGGGGGAAAACCTACGTCTGGGGCACCCAACCTGTCTCCAGAACTTGGTGGCGTGACATTGGCCCCACCTTCCTCCCTGACGGGCTCCGCTTACCAGTGGTGTCACATGTGCGGGAGCTGGGCTCCTTTTTGCAGTTTAGCCGGAAGCCCGTTCGCACCGGATTCACTGACCGCACAGAAGATGCCATTGCCCGACTCGGCAAGCTGGCCAAGGATCCGCAAAGCCTCAAACTTAAAGCCAGGGTCCTCCAGGGCGGCATCTGGCCTTTCCTCTTCTTTGGGACGGAGGGGCTTAGCCCTTGCCTCACCTCCATGCAGAAGCTCAGAGGCCACGCTGCCCGAGCGCTTGTGGGTAATCATCATACTGTGTCCCCTCACGCTGCCCTGTACTTGTCCCCAGGAGCCACTGATCCTGAAGTCTACCTCTTGGGCCATCACCTACGGCAACTCCGCAGGATGGCGGACCTGTTCCCGTCCCTTGCAAGACAAGTGTGGCATCGTTTGATCACGGTGAACCCCTCCCAGCGCTCCGTCTGCGGCCCTGCTGGCGCCCTGCAGATCTTGCTGCACCGCAACAATTGGGTACCGAAAGCGGACGGTTGGTGTAAGGGCCCCCTGCATTGCGCCTTTCATGTCTTTCGCACGCCTCCACAGCAGATCCAAAAGGCCGTCCAACAGGCGTGGGCAGATGAAGTCCAGAACCAGGTTCTGCATAGAGCCGGTTTACAGAGAGCACCAGCCCCGGACGCCATCACCACACACAAAGCCCTTAGGACCTTTAAGCCCTGGGAGCAGAGGATCCTGCTTCGACATGTCGCCGGTGGCTTTATGTCAGGAGCTGAGAAAGCTTCATGGTCACGGGAGGACCACGAGCATTGCCCATTGTGTGGTCAGCAGGATACAAAGGCACATCGGGTCTTCGAGTGTCAGCCACTGGATGCGGCTCGCCAGGAGCATCAGACCGTGCTCCAGCAGGTACAAGGCTCTTGCCCCTATTGGACACATATGACATTTGCTCCGCTACCAAGTGAGGCTCCCCTCTTGAAGCTCATACTGCAAGGGTTGAAGCTGCCGCCCCTGGCGTCGCCAGCAGCGGCAGCATCGCAGCTTTGTCTCTTTACGGACGGTAGTGCTCAGTACAACAACACTGCCCAGGCCAGAGTCGCCACATGGGCAGTGATTCGGGCAGATCCTGAGTGGAAACAGGAGATTGCAAATGGTGTGCCAGGTGCTCAGACAGCTGGCTTTCAGATCCTTGCACAGGGTTGTGTTCCTGGTGAACAGTCGGTGCCTCGCGCAGAACTTTCAGCGATAATCTGGGCTGCAGCATGGGCAAGCCAGACCCCGTGTACCGTGGATATTTATGCAGATTGCCAGCCTGCCATAGATGCATGGGAAGAGTGGCATCGCGAGGGTTTCCCAGCTGTGCGACATAGAGCTTTCGCTGATCTGTTTCATGAGGTGAGCCCCGCCCGACCATGTACTCTGCACAAAGTCAAGGCGCATCGCACAGCTCAGGAAGTGCAGCAGATGTCTACTGAGGACCGTTGGGCCACCTATGGTAACGAGGCGGCAGATTCGGCAGCAAAGGCCGCTTTTGCCTCCTTGCCCGACTACATCAAGGATACTGCGCAACAGGTTGCCTCCCACTGTGATCATCACCAGGGCCTGCTCCACTCTTTCTGCCGAGCTTTGGTCGACATTGGTGTGTTGGATATCAAGTTGAGAGGCGAGGCCAAAAAAGTACAGTTACCTACACCGACGGATGCCTCAGACCAGCTGCAGCATCTTCTGGAACGTTACGGCAGGTGGCAGGTGCCATCTGGCACTTGCCAGCTACCGGATGTGTTGGAATTAGACTGGGCCGGATGGAGCTTTGGCCAACAATTTGGAGAGAACTTGCTCGACTGGATGCGCGTGCTTGTTTGGCCCACTTTACCAGTGCCAGTGAGCCATGACGGCCAAGTGTCTTTCCTGGAGTTATTGTTTCATTTTGTTTGGACCACGCGCGCCCCGCCTCTGGTACAACACAGAAGACAGAACGACCTGGTGTACATACCGCTGCCTCAGGCCCTGGATGCCTTGCTACCGTGCGGGATTCCGCAGTTGGTGACCATCTTCAAAGCTGCTCTCAAGCAACTGGGCCAGCGCTACAATTTTCGGCCTTGGCCGGGGTTGGAAGTCAAGGCGGTCCCGCATCTTCGCTGGCTGGGAGTTACATTTGCTTCACCAGGTCTCTCCGTGCGGCCAACAATGCCAGGGAACTGGCTATCAGACTTTCAGTGGATGTGTCAAGGCGACATGGCACATAGGATCGGCTCTTTTTGCGACGCCTAAAACGGGCAGTCGTCAACAGGACTCGCGAACAGGACTCTCGGGTGCATCGGTGTCGCTGTGCGTGCATTTCTCATGTGCGTTCAGCTGGCCTGTTTGCACCCTCCATACAACGGTAAAGGTTTCTCTTCATCTTTTAGCATATTCCGTCGCGAAGATGTTTTGTATCATGTCATACGCTTGGCATGATGGCTGACTTTCCGCTTTAGGGCTTATAGGACCGTAGACCCTAAGCCTAAACCCTGAACCCTAAACCGTAGCTGTCGGTTCCTGCAAGTGGGTTGATCCGAGTTCGGTTTCTAGGGTTCGAGGAATTGAAGGGGAGTTGTATCTATGGTTGACGGCGTGATGTGTAGGACGGGGGATTTGTTTCAGCTCATGGGCCTGTACGTGTACAAGGGTGCACAGGTCAGTCTTATCGTTACGCCACTTCTAACACCCGCGCTTATGAAGTCTCCTGTCCCCCTTGAAGTGCCGAGGTTTCATTATCTGCCGACGGAGCTTGCCACCGGAGGCGAGGACCCTCAGCCGCGAAACCCCACGTCCGGTCCCATCAAAAAGTAGGTTCTTGCCAGGACCCCCCCAAGTGCTGCTTATAGAGCCCTTGTGGTCCTTAATAGTGTGAAGTTAGGGTGTGTTTGAGTGCAGTTGGGGCGTCAAAAGGTGCAGTGTCAGGTACGATTCCTGAGACTCTTCCTCTTCCGTAGGGATTGGGGTTCAGGGTTCCGGCTTGTGCACCGTCTACGCCAAAGGCTCCATGTACCTCTACAGTAGATACTTAAGCCTTAAAGGGGTCCCCATATAGGTACTTTAAGGCACAAGTATGTACTACATGGGTACATGGAGCCTTAGGGTACCGTGCCTCAGGCAACAAGGTCCTTATGCATGAGCACCTGGATCCAGGGCGCACTTGGCTATACAGTCGGTTCGGTAGATCTCGTCATTTGTGAGTTCCAGGAGTTCGGCAGATCTCGTCACTTGTGGGTTCCAGAATGTAAGGCCGACGCTACATGACGGTGTCCTTGTCAAGCGCTTACAGTAATACGGCACTACTTCTAACTCTAAGATGCTCCGTTTACAACCCGTACAAATCTGTGTATATATATATATGTATGTATATATATATATATATGTTTATATGTACACACATTCTTTTATAGAAGCCATTACAAACTCATGAAAGCCTGAGTTTGGAAGCTTAAAGAGGAAACTGCCATCCTTGACCTGCAAGCCCTGAAGGCCATCCTGCGGCCTACACGCTTATAGTAGCCCTTACCCAAAGGCCCCACAGTAGTTCGTTTTCGGGGATCGTATATAGAATCCTATAGGGTAATCCCAAAAAGGAACTACTTCGGAGCCTCTGGGTATAGATCCATTCAAAGAGCACGTAGGGTTTATGGTTTAGGAATTGAACTTTAAACTAGAAACCCTGAATAGAGGTATGGGGCGCTGCCTTCAGCCCTAAGGTGTTTCAAAGGGTTCCTTCAAGGGTTCTCAGGGGTTCTACATGGATACCATAATGGTTTAGGGTTAAATGTCCATGCACCTAAATACTACTTGCTTTGGCCTGACAAGGGCTTCTCTGTTATGGGTACGCCTGGGTACATACTTAAGGATCATCGTTCATAATGCTCCATGCACCTGCGTATGGGTACGGTTTACTTCCTACTAGTTCAGGATTGCGTGCTCAGCCCAGCGGCTCCAATATCCGTTATGTTAGGGAATATTCCTTAACTAGTCATATCAGGGATCCTACTATAAGTAATGTATTCTATATTCCTCAATTCAGGGATCCTACTATAAGTTAAGGGATGTCCCTTAATTAAGCGATATTGGAGCCTCTGGGAGCTTACAAGAGTCCGATTGAGTGCTTCAAGATGGTTGCTTTGAGGCCTGCGGTTCGGCCGTGGTTATGTCCGGTGGGATGTTTCTTTCAGAGCTGAGCCGTGCCATGATCAAGCCTCCTGCCCAGAGACTCCAATATCCATTAATTAAGGACTATAGTTCCTAATTAAGGGATAAAGGGGGTCTCTGTGTGAAACACAGCCTAATTCCGTAAACAACTCGTAACACTTTTTTGGGATAAGATAAAGCCTCTGTAATACAGAGGCCTGAACTTATGAAGATGATCCCTCCATATAGTTTTATAGTCCCTATGGAACTATACTAGAGTTTACCCGGCAAGAACCAAAGTCTAATCTGACGATGATGAAGGCCCTTGTATAAAATTCAGAAGGATGCCCGGTTTTAGTGGTGAGCACATATTCGCTTCTAGCTACAGTAAACCACCCCTAGGAAACCGAAAAGAAACCAATCATCACAAGAAGCACCAATGCTGGAAAAGGTACCTCAACCCAAATTTGAATACACTGCCTTTTCAAGGATTTCTGTAAAGAAATCATGATAAGGCAAGCCAAAAAAGACCGGTTATTTGCTAAAACCCTGAACCCCTAAAGCCCTAAACCTAAAACCCTAAACCCTGAAGCCCTACACCGGTGAGGTTCTTGACTCTCGAACCTCGGGCTTCAGCAGCAGGATTGCAGGCCGGGTTTAGGGTTTAATGTTTAGGGTCTAGGGTAGGGTTTAGGGGGAAGATCTGTCGTAGGGATTAGGTTTCCATTTTTGGGGTAGGGGTTTAGAGTTTAGTGTTCATGGTTTAGAGTTTCATAGTCCGTGAGTGCTACCACACGAAATGCTACAAAACCATGGCTACTGGTCAGGGTATGGTAGCACACGTATATTATAGGGGTTCCCGAGGTTTCATTGTTGTGTAAAGCCCGGATTGAATTGTGAGGCATATCCCGAATCAACGACTGACCTCTAAACTTTAAGTCCTACGTTGACGCCCAAATCCTAAGCATGCAAACCCTCCCTACGGACTCTAGTTAAACCCTAAGGCTCCATGCACCCCTGTAGTACATACTTAGGCCTTAACGTACCTATATGGGGACGGCGTTTAAGGCTTAAGTATCTACTGTAAAGGTACATGGAGCCTTTGGGAAAGTCCTCCACTCAACTAACCTCGTCCCCTGAACCCCAAGCCTTCAATCTCGCAAACGAAGTTAGTGGACCGTGAGACGTAGCTGTGGCCAAACAATATCAAGCGCCTGCGGGCTTCGTGCTCTTACCCTAAGCTTTCAGGGACCTTCTTATTATTGTGTCCTTAAGGGCCCTAGTGCCCTAACTATAAGGTCCGTGGAGGCATAGGGTTAGGTATGGCAATTGTGATTTGTTTTTCGCATCCCCTGCGAGGAAATAGGTTTCTTCTTAGCTCCAGAATTTCTAAACAACCCTGAACCCCGGAACCAAACCCTGACCCCCACCCTGAACCCTAACCCCAAAACCCTGAAACCCATCAAGCCGAAACCTGAACTCCCAACCCTAATCCCGAAAAAACCCAAACCTCGAAGCCTCAACCCTGCCCATATACGGGATACCTGGGGTGCCTGTAAGGGATCTATACGGGTTCCTTTAAGGGATCTATAGGGTTTAGGGTTTAGGGGACTCCAACATCCCGGAACTAAGGAATACAGTAAACCCCATAATGTTGGAAACTGGGTTAAGGCCAAACAGTGCTGGGATTCCCTAGACATTACTCTTAAGGATGGAGGCTCTGAATTTTCCAACTTTTGGGCTTCTACTGTAAGCCCTGCAACCCTAAAAAGACTACAGCACGAAAACCTTATCCCCCTAAATTGTCAATGGCTGCTTCATGAATGCCTAAACTCCTCAACCTGTACCCCCCCAAACCGAAACCCCACATTAAAAACCCGTTTGGGGTTCCTTACTATGATTTCGTTATAGGAGTCCTTGAGAATGTGGCTTTTCGGGTGTTAAGGCGAAGCTTATCCTAAGCCCAGAACCCTAACCCCTTGAACCTTCATCTCTAACCCTGAGCCCTAAACCCTCTCTTCTGCCTAGTAGTAGAGTAGGTAACCTTTAACCTTCTTTGGGTAGTATAGTCCCTATATAATATAATCCCTATAAAACCAAGAAGGTTAACCTTTAGTTCCCCATGATACCCTTAATCCCTAAAGCCTAAACTCAAAGCCCCTAAACCCTAAACCCTAAACCACTAAACCCTAAACCCCTAAGCCCCCTAAACCCTAAATCCTAAACCCCTAAGCCCCCTAAATCCTAAACCCTAAACTCAAAGCCCCTAAACCCTAAACCCCTAAGCCCCCTAAACCCTAACCCCCTAAATCCTAAACCCTAAACTCAAAGCCCCTCAACCCTAAACCCCAAACTCAAAGCCCCTAAACCCTAAACCCCTAAACCCTAACCTCTTCTGAGAGCGCAGGTGCTGGACTCAGTGACCTCGGAGTGGCGTTTCGTTGAGCCGGATCTGGGAGAGGCGACCGGTTCCTTTAAAAGGATCTGTAGGGCTTCCTTCAAAGGGATCTGTAGGGCTTCCTTTAAAGGGATCTGTAGGGCTTCCCTTAAAGGGATCCATAGGGCTTCCTTTAAAGGGATCTGTAGGGCTTCCTTTAAAGGGATCTGTAGGGCTTCCTTTAAAGGGATCCATAGGGCTTCCTTTAAAGGGATCTGTAGGGCTTCCCTTAAAGGGATCTCTAGGGGTTTTGAGGTTTAGGGGTTTAGGGTGTAACTGGGATTTAGGGCTTAGGGTTTAGCGGTCTAAGGTTTACGGTCTTCAGTTAAAATACCTTAATATGTAGCCTTGGAGTTGTAGGCTTCTGAATAACTAGCCATATTACCGCCTAGGGTTCCTTCCGCTTGCTATAATATACCCCAAAACCCTACTCTACGCGCGAAACCTCCTATAGTATGGGGCTGAGAAGGGCCTGATCTGCTTTGCGGAGGGATTGTTTTAGGGCCGTGTAATCTGTGCTAGATAAAGGTTTACTCCAAAATGAAAATCTCAGGTCCGTCTGTTATGGCGTTCTACTTGAAGGTTCATGCGTGGCCGAAAGCAGCGTTAGAAGTACCCTGAGTATTGGGGGGGTTTACAGGTAGATACAGCTGGCTAATTTCTGTAGAAGCCC